GTTTTCATTTGCTGTGCTACTTTTTAAATTATTCATAATTATACCTCATTTCATTAATTTTTTCTTTTTCATTTAGTTTTTGTACCATAAACTACCCACCTCCCCCCTCCGCTGTTATTATGTCCTATAGGGAAATATGCCCAGTATAAAAAAAAACCTGTAGTATTTATTGAAGTTTACAACTTTTCCGTTCAAAAACCCGGTATTTCTCTATTCCTCGTGATTTTCTCGATCCGGAACATTTAATCTCGCGTTTAATTGACTTTTGAGAGAAAAGTGCCCCGTAAAAAAAAATTATCTTTCATTGAGATACACATATTTTTCTCAGTGTACAACGTAACTGCGGAGAATTAGAAAAAATAGATAGGTATGTTTCCGTGAATTATCTATTTTTTTATTGTCACAAAAAAGCTTAGAATACAGAGCATCACGTTTTACAATAAATACAAAGTTATTTAACAAATGGGATGAAAATGCAAGGTAGTGGGACCACCCCCACATTGGTTTCAAAATTCTTTTATATTTTTATGTGTCCAACAAAGTCAAAAAGCTTTGCGAATGTAATAGCATACACGGCACGCTCAAGCGCAATAATTGCACGTAATTGTAGCACAAGTAGAAGTTACATGTACTATAAAAGAAAGTACGCCCGACAATTTCTTTGCAAACATAGCTTCATGCGTAGCGCCTTTTACTCGGTATAACCGTTATTGGCTCTGCCCACTAAGGTATAAAAGGAAGTACTCTATAATCGAAGATACGATCAAAGGGACTACTAGCGCTTGCAGGTGAGGTAAATTTTCGGAGAATAAGGTACTTTCTTGTACTGCATGTGTAACATGTACCTACGTTATAATTATATTGAAAATTGAGAAGAGATGAGGAAGAAATGAAACGAAGTGGTGTGTGACTATTGGGTATAAAAGAACAGCCTGGTTTGAGCAAAGACAAAAATGACGATGAAAACCACGGAAATTTCGGGTAGGCACCAATAATATAAGTGGGAAGGCAATATTTTTTATGATCGCAAGAAAGAAAGATAATCATGGAAACAGTCCGGTTTGCAAGCCAGCCAAACATGTAAGTAGGTGCAGGCATATAGGGAGGATCGGGGGCGGGTGCCAGCCTCCCACTCTCCGTTCCCCAGGCATCGGCAGAGAGTGGGAGAGAACCGGCGCTCTCTCTCTCTCTCACCATCCAGATCCCCGGCCCGCTCGATAAAAGCTCGCGCGTCGTCCCGCGGGATAGGTGCAGGTGGAGAGAGGTAAGAAAGGCAGGCAGGCAGGTGTACGCACACGACAAACAACATCAGAGCGAGTCGGGGAAGGGGGAGGAGTGACATGTTGTTGAGTGTGTATATGGTGGTGTACCCATCGTTACCTGGGATATGGAGGGCTGGAGGCGCAAGAGGCGCGCGTGGAAGGAGCTCGGCGTGTCTATGGTGTGCTGGCGCGCGAGGGCCGGGTGCGAGGGCGTCATCGAGCTCTGCCGGAACCACGGCAGGGAGATCTTCCGCTTGGCCCTCTGGGCTATCGAGGCCGGCTTGCCGGCCGGCGACGTCATGCTTTCTTATTTCAATACTTTCCGTCTAGGGGTAACGAGATGAGGCTGCACGCGGGTCGTAGATTGTCAAACTCCCCGATGGCCCACCAGGCAGCTTCTTTGCCACCTCGACGAGCACATAATACCACTATCTTCTTCCTCCTCTTCCTCCTCTCACTTATTGGCTTACAATCGTATGTTTGTGTGCTTACGTAGGATTTACTTTATCAATGAAGTAAGATGAAAACTGTTCGTCACTCTGGCTCCATCGTACTTTTCCGTCTTTTCGCCGCCACCGCCTGTATCACCACTACTCATCAGGTACATTGCGTGTGCCATTCACGCGGGTCGTATCACCTTTTCTCTTCTATTCCATGTTTTTTTTATTCATCAACAGTGACGCTGCACCCGATTTCTCAAACATATATTTTATATGGGTGCACGTCGTTTACCCCCACCACCTTACTTATATATGTACTTTTAAACATTTAAGATATGTCTCGCGGTTCGTCCCAACATAATTATATATACTCCGGGCTCGGTGGTCCCCGTCCACCTCGACATGTGTATATTATTACATACGTATAATTGTATTGTTGTGCGCTTTTATTTATGTTATTCACTAAAACCGTGTAATTGTAGTGATGGTTACAACGACCAACTATATCGTTGGGCCTGTACTATCTATTCGGTCTAAAGTCAAACCGCACGTCACTGCTCTTGTTTGCCCTCTTCATCTTTTTTTGTTGCTCACTCTGCAGCAAATAATATCACAGTATAACAAGTGATGGGGTCCCTATCTCCGTTTCACCACCATGTCCATGAGGGTTCGTATACCATATCCCTTTGAATGGTCGATGTTACATCGTATGGATCACTATCGCGAGTATAGGTAGGTCGATCAGAGATGCGCTCCTCCAATTAACGGACGGACGAAAAGACGGATGACGGACGACTCCACGCGGGACTTGGTTTTTTTTTTTTTTCTTCTTCCTTAGCAAAGAGAAGAAAGCAAAGAGCAAAAGTAATTAGAGAACCGAGGATGCAGAGCACAGGGAACGAGAGTCACGCCTGGACAGCTGCGGGTGTTCCTGCCACTGCTGATGGTGGTTAGCAGCTGCACCCAGAGAAGCTGGCGACGAGCTGCGATGTAGTTGGAGGAGGAGAGAGAGAGAGAGACGAGAGCGCGAGGGAGTCCGGCCGCGCGACCCGACGAGAGCCGCGTCCGTACTACCTTTCGCAAGCTCCCTCGGTCGGTGGCGCGCTGGCTGACTGGCGCGCGCTCTCTTTTCCTCGTATATACATACGTCTATACGTGTGGCTCGTGTGCAATGTATATATATATATATATATATATGTGTGTACCCCTGTATACGAACGCTTGCAGCTCTTTCGACGACGACGACGCGCCCCCGTGCTATTCTGCAAGCTCCCGTCCGCGCGCGCACACACGCCGCCGCCCGTCGACTCCTTCCTTACGTTACAGTGGGATGTGTGCTCAAGCCACCACCGCGGGTAGATATGAGCTCTCCACCTGATGTGTAATATACAACTGTCGCAAGAGGATACGATGAGAGGAGGAGGTGAGCTTTTGCGAACGGGTTATTCGTGGACAATCCGTGCAGGACGACGTCCCTCCTGATGTATATCCCACGCGCTCGTACTAAACATACAATGACCCTCTCTTATCCCCCGCACATGTACGTGTAGTATCTACAGATATCAGCGGAAACGCAAATTTTAATCAACAGTCAACTTATATAAATACCCTCTCGGGAAAGCTCGAGTCTTGAATTTTTTTTTTTTTTTTTTCAAATCCCACACTTTACAGTTGAGCTTGCAAGCTCGCGCATGCGCACAGAGTTGACAAATCAAGCACTTGCGCGTAATTTGCGTCACGAGCCGGAACTTATCTATAAGTATCCACACATGCTTGAAAATAAACCTTCTGGTAGGTCATATACGTGCAACTGTAGATACAACAGGCGTGCAAGTATTTATGCGTATGTATTGTACAAAGGCAAATACAATATGATGCATGTTTTCCGGTAGGTATGGGTATAAGTCAGTGTACGTCCAGTGTATATAAAATACTTCAGAGGAAAAACTTCATTTGGCTCTTTTGCTTCCATTCAATGAATGATACCTATTTGAAGCATTCACTAAACGATTAATGAATTTTTTTTTTATTGCCACTGATATGATCTGGTGATAAAAATCTCATTCGCTGGTTAAACTAGAGAAACTTTCAATTATTCATGTCGAGATACTCCCTCAGAAGTCTAAGATAAAAACAAAAATTTTTTTAAGTATTTGTTTACAATGATATGATTGTTTCAAAGAATATTAATTAACCCGAAATTCCGCCTTTCTTCTAAAATTTACAATTGCGTCCCACCTAGTTCGGTCAGCCCTCAAATACTTGGGGAGCGCGTGATTTTGTATGTGTGGAAAAAAAAAAAACAAAAAAAAAAAAACGTGAATACATTTTTAACAGTACTACAATAAAATGAAGCAGTAGAGTTCGCGTGAGGCTCGCTTTACGACTAAACTGACCACAAGTTGTGCTGAAAACGAGTGTGTTGTGCCTAAAGGTAATTTCTTTGTTCATATATAAATTAAATTTGCGGGACGAGCAGAGTTCTAAGGCTACGGGTGAATTTACTCAGCTTGCCATTGATAGGGGATGGACGGTCTGCCAATGTACGAAAGAATGCGAGACTCGCGATTGATTATCCTCTTCCACTCATCTATTTCTCACTCTCGCTCTTATTCCTCTCGTATTTGTTGGGATTCCCTTTGCATTAACTATTGGAATTTATCTATTGTTTCCTTCCTTTCTTATTGACTGTAACTTTATTGTTACTACAAATTTTTTTAATGAAATTATTTTATTTTATTTTCATTTACCGTCCTCATTGTTCTAAATACGAGGTAATATGAAATATTGAACTTTTGATCACGGAAGAGAAAGAGAGAACCTAAATAAATTTGCTCATTATTAAATTTCTGCCAGGCAATTCATTTGATCGAGAAATACTACGCATTCATATTTAAAAAATTCGCAATTGTTTCATGTATTGGATCTCTCTTTAACTGGCAATCAGATTTTCGATTTTTTCTCGCTATTACGCTTTAACTCAATGGTATACAAATAATAGTAACAATTTTTATTCAAACTCTAACTAGTTGATGTATCCAAACTAATCAATTTTATTAATTAACGCTTAGATCCATTACCCGTATACACAATTACTATTATTAAATACCGAAAGTCTCTGGTTATAGTGTTATTGAAAATACACCGTATAATATGCAAAGAAGCAAAATGAAGTTGATAAAGTAAAACCACATGTATTATTTATTAAAAAGAAAAAGTCAGATTATTTGTTTGTTTTTTTGGCGCGTGTAGCAAAATATATTCAGAGACTTTTGGGATCGAGCAAAAAAGCACATACCTTGTCAGAATCGGTGGTATTGGTCGAGCCGAAGGAGGCAAGCGAGTTCCGGTCGAGGTTCTCGGCACTGTCGTCGAGCGAGGCGCACTCCTCGAGATCTCGGCTGGACCGCTGGCTTGAGCTCTTTTTGGCCGGGCTCTTGGGCATACTCAAACTAAAGTAGGTTTCCTGGATGACTTCACGCAAACGCTTTACCCAGAGCTGCTTCGACTCGAGCGAGTTGGAGCGTAACACGACCCGGGTATCACTTGTGGGCGCTCGGCCGGTCCACACTGCGAATTTGCACTCGTCACCCTCGATGTGCTCAGTAACGCCCAACTCCGACGTCATTAGACGGCTTTTATAGATGTATTTTACCTGTCACAGAATTTCATAATTTTAGTCAAATCAATGTGCATGTATTAAAAAAAAAAAAAGTTTTTTTGAATTAAAAAGCATTCATGTGGACGTGACTCAAAAAAGTGGGGATAAAAAAAAGAATCACCTTGCCGTTAGAATCCTTGACTTCTTTACTGAAGAGTAAGTACAGCTCGAAAAGGAAAATGTGTCTCTCTCTACCTTTTCTAATTAATTGTTTGGGATCCCAGACTGTAAAAGGGTCCTGTAACACTACATCGCCAAGTGTATCTATCCTGACATCGCAGCCTTCTAGAAGGCTCAAGTGTAAGGCATCATTAGCTTTTTTAGGCACATTCAGCATCACTTCAAGTCCATCTTTGATTTCACCTTGATCTTCCTGGCAGCATGCCTGAATAAACAAACAATAAATGTATAGTCTTTATTTTTATTGAATCGATTAAAAAAAAAAAAAAAAAAAAAAATCATATTCAATACCTGGAGATCCTTAAGTAGAAGCTGATATTTTGTAATTCTTTGCACCGGTTTGATCAAGTAAGCAGCTATAGGATGTTCTACTTTATGCTTCCTTTGCAAATCATCAAACCAAGTGCCACTATGCATAACTAATAACTGATTGCTTTCTGGTTTATTCTTGCAGTAAATTACATACATATCAAATTTGGCAGCCTGTAATAAACCAATTAAAATTGTTATTTCTCATTTTTTGAAGCCCTTTGGATTTATTGAATCATTAAAGCCAATTTCTAATATTATTTTGCGAACACTAGTGAGTTGCCATGATTAATTACCCATGTAACGAAACAATGTCCAACATCTTCCGGCATTGTTTCGTATTTTTCTAGTTCACGAAGAAAAATGTCGTTGTGAAACCGATGAATCTCCTCCATATTGCTAAAAATTATTGATTCACGTCCTTGTAACCCTTGTGGTACATTATTTTTACCGGCTTTGGTTTCTTCTAAAAAGCATCTAATGCAAGTATCTAAATCCTTAACATAAGTTCTCTCAGTTTGTAAAAGCTCAGCCATAATAAATCTGAAATTGAAAATTTCGTTTCAACATGGTACCACATCATTTTCAAATTTTCTTGATCAAAAAATAAAGTTGAAATTTGTACTTACTCTTTCCGTCTAGCAGATCTACGTTTCTCTTCATTCAGCTCCTTCAGATCCTTGCCTTTAATCTTCTCCTCTAAAAGCGGATCTGAATTTCTATCTATAGTTATTTCCTTGGGTCCTTCGTCCAGCTGTATCTCCAAGTCATCTTCGATCGCTGTTCTGTAGCAATCCAACCGCATGCTAAAATCTTTGTAACGCTGGTCCACTTCGGCAACCGTTTGCTTGATCGCAGTCGCGTGAGCGTGACCTTTTTCCACGAGATTGTCAGCCAGTTGGATTAGGATTTTGACTCTATCTCGAGTTTCCTGAAACACAGAGTAATCAAGTTACTTTGGTGATAAGTTAATTTTTATCTGCAATACAAATTTCACTATACTCGATTTTTGAAACCCAAAGCCACATATTTTATAACGTTTTAGCGTCTGGGCACTAAATTGGAAAGAATAGTGAGCTTGAAAGGAGAGGCGTCAAGTCTCGTACCATAAGAGATAAAATGAGGATCAATATGTTTTTTCTTCCAAAAAAGAGAGTCTATATTTGATATTTGGCAAAGATTCTTATGTAGTGCAAGCACTCGCGCCAGCTCTTTTTCTTTCTTCCTTTCGTTACATGCCTCGCAAATATAACACTACATTTTTGGCTTCTTTTTGTCGCATCCTTTTTTCTACCAATTTTATAGCAACGAGAAACTGTTACATCGTGTAAAAAACAAATGTTATCTATTTTTTAAACTACTTTCAACTTTCATGTGCTACTTTTAGTATTAGATTCGATTAGCAATTTTTAATAATATTGTCAGCTATGTAAATTTATTTATAGACCCATGCCAAGCAACTGTTTCCCTTAAAATGAAGTTACCTTTGCTGCTCCCTTGAACTCGTTGTGCTCGAGGAGTAACTGCTCGTTTTCCGCTCTATTCCTCCCAGCACTGGCATGCGTCGCAAGGTAAAGCTCGCCAGTCTCGCTTATCCACTCGAGCGCCTGTTTAGCGCTACGCTCGAACAGCACGTACTGGTGGCACTGATCCAGACGCTTCTTTCGCTGCGTCCAGCATTCAAGGACTTTATTCTCCTTACTAAGAAGTTCCTCCAAAATATCTATCATGTCATCAGAGAAAAAAAATTTTATAATTAATTGAGTTTGATCAAATAATAAAATTGTTCGTTAAAAAATTAAGAATCAATTTTTAAGTGTATTTACTTCTGACTTTTCCCTCGGAGCCGGTGCTCTGATAATTATAAAATTGCAGGCTACGATTGGTGTACTTGAGGAACGTCTCAGCGGTCCGCCTAACGAGGGTGCACGCCTTCAAGAAAGCCTCTTTTTGCTCCTGGTGCTTTGTTATGAGTGTCGGCACTTGGTTTGCCTTGTCTCCACCCATGCACCAGTCCTCGTCCCTCTTGTACTCCCGTTCGAGGCCGTCAAGAGCTGTGCGCACCTAAAAAAAAAAAAAAAAAAAAAATTTAATTATTCAAGCCACTTGGAAAAATATTTAAAGTAGCAAAAACCTTTTTTCGATAAGACCGAGTAATCGGTTGCGAGAAAAAAAAAAAAAAATATGCAAACTTACCTGTTCTACTGTCTTGTAGAAATTAATACTAGCGGTAACGAGCTTGTGTCGCTCTTCAGCGCAGGTGACGAGCTGCTGCCACCTCTTGGTCACGTCCTCGGCGACCTCCCGTATAGTTTTAGGGTCGTAATGATTAGCGCTTATCAGAGCGTCCGCGTTTTGCTTCAACTGCCACGCCAAGCGAATGAAAATTCATCACAATTAGTATAACTACGTGGATGGCTATGACAACTGTGATTATTAATGTTGGGTAGTTATAAAATAACCTGCACTGCCGACATGTGAGTCTTCTCGATGGCAACCTCGAATTGCTCGTGCACGTGCCTCAGCTGTTCGGCGTCCTGGAGATTCTCGGGTATTCGCAACGACGTGAGCAGCATCGCCTCGCCGTTCCTAATCCAATTGACCACGTGACCGGCAGTCTGCTGCAACTTGACCAAGTGATTGGCCTGCTCGAGCTGTATTCTCCTCATCTCGGCCATTTCCTCGGCCTCCATTTCGCGATCGTTGAGAAATTCGAGGAGCACCTGGACGCGGTTTGACGCGGTGTGCTGGCCGTCGGCCATTATACAGACGCCGGCCTGCTCGAGAACTTGGGCCAGCTCCTGGCCCTGCTGCATGACTTGAAAAGCCGTGTTCTGCATGTGGGCCACGCCGTCGTTGTGGGCCCTCAGCTGGTGGTCGGGCGAGCCTTCACGCGGTGGGTTCTGCAACTCCTGGGCCCACATCTCCAGCCGGCCGCTCGCCTCTAGAGCGTCGCGCTCGAACACTCGTAGCCGTAGGCACAGCTCTAGCCGCATTTTCCGCGTCGCCCAGAGATCCTCGAGCTCCTGGCGCAAACCTTGCAGCCTGTCCAGTGCCGCCTCCACAGCTGCGATCTTGTGGGGAAAAAAGAAAGAAAGAGAAGCGATTGTACGAAAAAGTCAAGAAATGCATCGATCTATCGAGGGAAGGAGTCGTGGCGATGCTTACGGAGCCCGTCGTGTCGGGCATCTCGGTGGAGTCGCGCAACTCTTGCAGCAGCGTTTCGCCCTGGGCTATAGTGGACGCGCAAGCCTCGAGGCACGAAGTCCGGTGTTGGGCGCACTGCTCGAGCAATCTCTCGGCCGTTTCCAGGCTCTCTGCCACCTCGTCTTGCTGCATTTCTTGGCGCAGCTCGTCCACCCACCCGGTCAACTGAAAGTACAAAAAATTAATAAATACATAATATTAATTTCAAACGCGTCAAAGTATAGAGCAGTCAGCCAAACGGTACACATCGGTATACATGAAAAAAAAAAAAGAACGAGCAACTACCTCCTTCTCGTGCGTGTAAAAGACAACGGCCAGGTCGAGCCTGCGTCTACGCTGCTCCACCCGTGCCGCGAAGCTACTGACGTGGGCCTCGAGCTCCTGGGCGACCGCGTAAATCTCGTCCGGGGCGCACTCGCCCGTGTGGGCCAGCTCCTCGGCCGCCGTGAGGAGCTTCGAGGCGTTCGTATAGGTGTTTTGTGCGACGTTCTCGAAGTGCTCGTGGCTTTTCTGGTAGACCCGCGCCTTTTGCAGGTTCCTCCCGACCCCGGTGTTCTTCCGGATGAACACCTCGCCGTGGTTCGTCAGCCAGTCCAGCACCCGCTTCACGTCCTCTTGGAAGAGCCTATGGATCATCATTATTACTCACATTTGACTCGTTGGTACATTAATTGGTTCATTTAATGCATAAACACGAATGTGGAATTTTTCCAGAGCACCCGCGGAGGGACTTTACGTGTTTGAGGATGATGGTATGCTTTGAATGGAAAAAAAAAAGAAAGAAAACCACCTTAGGTGTTGAGTGTTCGACATTGACGTGTGTGCAGTGTTGAGAATGGCCAAAGAAGAGATCGAGTTGCTCTCGGCATCCGATCGAGCCGAAACACGCGAGCAATTCGTGTAAGTATAGTATGACCCACCTGAGCGCGAGCCTCTGGTGAAGCTTGATCTTCCTTGCGTGCCAGCGTGCCTCGAGCGCCCGATGGTGGCCCAGTATCTGATGAATGACGGCGAGCACGTGGGACGCGCCCTCGCTGTAATCGGCCGCTGGATTGCCGCTCAAGGCGCCCCGGCTGTCCATGTGGCCGTCTTGGCTCTGTTTTTGTTTTTTCCGAACGCAAGTACGGATCAAATGTTAATTGTCACCTCAACTCCATTGGTGCAATGAATAATATCACACGCTCATCGCCGAGAAGCGAGCGGTGCGTGCACGAGTAGATCTAAAGGCTTTGAAAAATTGAATCCACTTCGCGAATGGAGTGGGTGATAAAGGCTGCGCCACTTGCTTCTCGGCGTATTTTTTTTTTTTNGTGCGTTCGTACAAACGAAACGTAATTTTTTTTCGCTTTAAATAATTTGAACGGTGAAAGGGTATATCTCGTGTCATTTGGCACGAATCACGTGTTTTTATATTTTGTGATTAGTATTATTATTGACTTTTTTTTTTTTTTTTTTTTTTTTTTTTTTTTTTTTTTTTTTTTCCAATAAAAAAAACGCAACGTGCCAACGTCTAATAACAACTAAGTACTGTGCATGACTACTGTGCTCGACAAGAATGAGGCAGGGACAGGACGGGATCGGCTGCCAAGGATACAAATGCATGTTATATACTTAATATATATCATCCGAGCTACCAAACGAATTTTACTAATTAAACTTGACGCGACACTCTGCAGCGTTTCATTACAAATTAATTGTGGAAGTTTACGTGCTGATTCGCGAGCGCATTAAACCTCGTACGGGCTCCATTCTTTGGGGAATAATACGTAATACCGTAAGAAGAGGAGGACGACGAACTTTTTTCTTTTTTTCTTTCTTTCCTTGTTTCATTTTTAACTCACCGCTGGGAAAAGTTGAAAAGCTCGCACGAGGGGATTATTTCAGCAATACGCATTGAATATTCGATGTCTCTATAACGAGGGCCGACCGACGACGCGACGTCAAGAACTTTTTTTTTTTTTTTTTTTTTTCAAGTAATTAAGAGATGGGTCGAATCATGTACTTCCACGAAGTAGCATAAATAATAATAATCGTAGAGCAGCCATTGTTAAAATTAATTTTTTACGGACACGCTTCGAGCGCAAAATAAACAACACGCCTCGAGTCAGTGGTGGTAAAAGATCGTGAAAAGAGAGTATACCCATCTAAAGCGGTACAAGTATATAGGTATCGAGAGGTGCAAAACTCGCGATGGGCGCATGCATGCAATTAAAACCAAGCCAGGTACTTAGTGTATACGTACAGCGCAGGTATTATGGGTACTGATGAATGTGTTTATAGGTACATATATACTTGGGGGCGCATGCCACTAGCCACATTTTACATAGGTAGGTATATAATATATCATGGACCTACTAAAAAAACTGCGGTAAAGCAAATAAAGGGAGACAAGACTCGTAAGGTATGCATGGCGTACACACGATAGCGGGTGAACGAGGAGCGTAAGTGGTGGATGGGTACGTATTATGAGTACCTACACGTGCGGTGTGTGTCAGTGACAAGTACGAGGGTGTAAGAGGCAATCTCGGCATGAGCTATCTAAAACACGGCGTCGTATGTACATACACATGAACGTGTATATAATATATATATATATATATATAGGCACACACACACAAGGGATGATAAAGGGTGAGGGTGGATCGGTACAGGGGGTGTGGGTGTGCGTGGAGGGCAAACAAAAACGAATAGGCCGAGAGAGAGAGATTTGTGTGTGCTCGGATTTTAACGAGCACGTAAGTAGAAAGAGAGACACAAAACAAACAACACATATATACTTATGAGAACTGCAGTGGAGACGAAAAACGTGAGGTGAACCGGGAAAATAAGTAAGTAAGTGGGACTGCAAATAATTACACAAACAGAAATAATGCGCGCACACGCGGAATGTATGTAATAATTGTTACGTGAGTATAAGTTGGTATACATGACAATAGAAACAGAAGAAAAAGAAACACACGAGAAGAAAAGTCAGTTGTACTTAATAGAGAGAACACGAGGGCATGCAGGAGGACACGTACGTGTTTTCTTGTCGGGTAGTCTATTCCCTGGGGTTGGTTACAGACTTGCACGAGGTGGTCCAGCTGGTAAAGAAGCTTCTTACTCGTACTGTGGACCTAGACAGCACCACCGAGACAGAGGGACAGAGAAAGAGAGACAGAGAGTGAGAATAAAGTTGTGGAAGAGAGAGAGGACAAGTTATATTCTCCTGGTCCATTGTTAAACAATCCGAGCTGAAATGATGCACCGAGTGAAAAGCTCCGCGAGAGAAGCAGAGAGAGCTTTGCGTTTTCACTCGTGCATTCTTTCAGCGTGCAGCTACGGGGGTAGCTCTGTGTGCGCCAACCCGAGTGTATACTGTTGGTTTTTTTTTTTTTTTTTTTTTTTTTTCTTTCTTTCGCTCTTCTTTCTCTTTTCGATTCTTTTGTTTTTCTTTCTTTTTCCTTTATGCTTTCGAAACGAGTCACCAAGCACCGTACTGTGAACAAGAGGATGTCTTGTAGTTGCTGGTGTCACCCGCGCGCATGGACTCTAGCGGGACTGTACATATTATTATGCGTGGCTCACTTCCTCGATTTTCCATTCTCTTTCATTTTATTAGTTGGTACTTCAACAATCGAGCACTCAATCCGACAATGGTAGTAAAACTTTTGTCACGCCAATGTTTTCAGATGAATCCTCGATTGTGTGCCTACGGCTTTAAAATTTTCAGTACTCACGATCAGTTAAAAGCATGCGTGTAGGTATTTTGAAACATTCAATCGCCGAATTCCACATAAAAATCATACAAATTTCGCATTGAGTACTCAAAATTTTTATGAAGTACTATGGTAATGAGGTGTTCTCTGAAAGAAGGTATGGTTTTAGTTTAATATACCACAGGTGTAGGGGGTACATTTTGATGGGGCGCAGGGGACCAACGGTCAATATCAATCATCGGTTGCGTGACCAATTTGACACGAGTGTTTAGTCCGATTCCAGCGCTCCACCAAAATACGTACCTTATACGTAATTATATTGACAGTTAATTGCCTCCTTCTAACATTCGAGCAGAGTATGAATTATGTATACATATATGTATAGGCATGACGTTTTCGGCATTCTACCCAGTCACCAGGTTAGCGTTACATTTCATCCTTTTTTCTTACTTTATCGAGATTGCTAGAAATTGTTATTAAATTTTTATAATCAAATAATAACTCGTACGTAATCGTCGGAACCAACAACTGCACTCGCGCTGTGACAAACTTGCAACATCTTTCCTAGTCCACTCAATAATGCTTGATATGCGTTATATACCTGCAGGAACGTAATTTCTTCATTATTACTGATTACGTGACAATTTACCTCTCTGAAGGATTTTACTACAGAGAGGTACTTGTTTGTGGTTCTGAGAATGGTATTTATTGCCTGTTACGTATTTTATGACATTATTTCAATAGAAGAAAAAAAAAAAATATTATTTTTCGTACCAAGGGCGCGGTAAAAGTTAAAATGTCAGGAAAAACCCCCCGAGGTAGGAAAAATAACGTCCGCCACATAAGAGCCATCCAACCGGGGCTGCCATTCACAGGTCCCTCGGGCCGAAAAATAGCCCCGGTGACGATGGCGCTTCAGCGACGAAAACTAGTATTTAAATATTACTTGATGATAATTGGGAGAAAAAATACAAGTGTGAGTAAGCATGTACGTCATGTATATAATAAACGTAAAAAAAAAAAAAACAATAAAACTTTCAATTACATACTGATTTCATACTGAATATTGAAGTAGGAAGAAAAAAAAAATTTTTTTTGACTCGACGCTCAAGGTAAAAATTCAAAGTTATTAGCTGGCATACTTTGATTGTTGTAAAATATTGCAACTCGTTTGAATAATGACTCAATTTAAAAATCTCTTTCAATTGTACATTTTACATCTGGATTACTCGTAAAATCGTTCTTTGCCACACAAATACAAAGTACAAAGAGCCAGAGGCGCTTGAGTTTAAAAGTTAAAAAGAGGGAGAGAGAGAGAGAGAGAGCGAATCGATGTATTCGACAAGAGAAAAAAAGTATTAGTACTTTGTAGCCGCCGGACGAAAGGAGCAGTGAGACTTACCTCGGTGTAAGCCTGGCACATGGCCTCGTAGAGCGTCTGGTGCTGCCTGATGTGCGACTCGAGCACGGGTATCTCGTTCGGCAGGTTGTTGGCGTCGCAGGCCTGACTCCAGCCGGCCACGCTGTCCACGTACTGCTCGGCCTTGTGGTGAAAAACGACACTCAGCCCCAGCACTGCCGTGCGCTCGTCCAGCCCAGCCGCAAACTCCTTCCAGGCTCTATCGAGACGGCCGGCAACTGCCCGGATGTGACCAGCGGCGTAGTGCTGGGTCTCCAACAGACGACCGGCCATCTGCAGGATCTTGTTGATGTTGACGTACATGTTCATCGAGTTCATCGCAAAGTGCTTGTGATCTTCTTGCAGGCCCTTTGCTGTCGAGAAAACGCAGGGATGTCAACTATGGATCTTTTGGCTATGAGGAACGAAAAAAAAAAAAAAAAAAAAAACCGCACCCAGCTGGTAGGAGCGACCGATCTCGACGTAGTTGGTCAAAAAGTTGTCGCGGTTGTGGCATATCCACTCGAACATCTTCTCGCAGTCCTGCTCGAAGAGCCTCAGCTGGAAGCACTGCTCGAGCTTGATCTTCTTGATGTGCCAGAGCTGGAGAAGATGCTGCTGGGCCGCGTTGACCGAGTCCAGGTGCTGGATCACGAGGTTAGCCACGTCCCGGCTGTCCGAGTCGGAGCCAACTCCCGAGGCCGCTCCGGATGCCTCGATGCTGCCAATGCCACTCTCTATGCTCGCGCTACCGTTAACGTTCACGTTGAAGCGCTGCAGGAGCCGGTTACCGACCACCCCGATTTCTAACAGACGGGAGCAAGCCCGATTACAGGTTGAACACACACTCGGCGGCAAAAACACAAAAAGAGAGAAGGAGAAAATGATAAAAGCCACACCTTCGACCGAGACCTTCATGATCTTCTTCTTCATCTCGTTGTGGAGGTCGATGCCGTGCTTGGCGCCACCGACGTCGTCCGCAAAGTCGTTGCGGCTGAGATCCTCCTGGAGGTCGTCGAGCCTATCAAGGATCTCGGTCGCCTGCCAGGTGAAGTCCTCGACAGCGAGTCGGGAGTCGATCCAGTGGGCGTGATCGTACGGAAGCGAGCCGTCCAAGTCCGCGGTCAGCTGCGTGGGGTCTATGTTTCTGGCCAGGGCTTCCAAGTTCACCGTGTTGATCTGCATCATTTTGTCACAAAAAAAACATAGGTAAGTATTTTTTGGGTCCACGACAAACATCTCGGTCCTATGCACTCGATAAAACAACGACCAGATTTGAAAATGTACGAAACGAAGATAATTTTATTCGGACTCGCTCGTTATGCGAAACAAGTACATAAATAAATCAAGTCAAGTCGATTAGATATAATATATACACGAAGGGCCGAGAAAAATGGATGGGGCAAGGTTGTGGCCCTTCTTCTTTCTGTCCAGCAAACGAAATAAAAACAAGAAAATAGACTCGAAACGGATTGCAGCACTAAAAAGAAAAGTATTGTCTGCACGTATATGCACGAGAGTGAAACTGCACGTACAAGTAAAAATACAGAGAGCACTTTTCATTATTCGCTGGCATGGATGTAGCCTAGCTTTGAAAAATGTTTTTAAAAAAAAGTAGTCCCTACATATCTCTCTCGCTGACGTCACACACTTGGAGAGAAAGAGAGAGAGAGAGAGAGAGCAGCTACAGACGCGAAACAGAGCATGCATAACGGAGGCGGACAAAAATCAATGCTCATCCATGCACGAGAGCCGAAAAATTTTCCGATTTCCTGGCAAGCAAGCAAACAGCCTCTCAACGAGAGCCCCCAAAAAGTGTGTAGGTATAAGTTGATAAAAAGCCCCTCCCTCTCTCTCGAGTGTCAGCGATCCTTTTTTCTTTTCCCTCTGCATAATTATATACGCGTACGTGTACGTGCATAATATAAAATATGTACATCCTAGTCTTCTATATAGCTAGTGTCCTCATCTCATACATTTCACGCTGTGTAGGTATATAATTATAATCGCAAGTACCTATATATATATATCATATGGATGTATTACAGCAGCAGCAGCGATGGGTGTTTCTCTATTATTTATATATAAGTACGAAGCGCCGGTGTATGAATATAAAAGAAAGGGCCAAAAGTATAAATAAATATGAGTAGAGGGAGGGCGACACAATAGTTGTTGTTGTATATAAATATATACGCAATTTTCTCTCCGCGATGCCGTAACCGGTAAAAGTGGGCCGAGCTTATTCACCGAGACCGGCTCTGTGTCGGCGAGCAAGTTTACCTCCCACCTATATACTTCCTTCATGTCGTATATACCAACATCCGTCCACTGTCCTATCTGCATATTTTGTAAATCTATTTTCGCGTGTTACGAGTGCACATGCGATAACACGCAGACACGTTTTTTTTTTTTTTTTATCATAATATAGTTTGTGCAGACTGCCAAGTAATAATAAACGCTGCTGCTGTTTTATTGTAAAATCTAGGGTTATTATATCATATATAGCTAAATTTATTTGTGCGCGTATGCAGTGCACGTACCTCAAAGTTGTACTTTTTCTGTTTGGCCAGCGAAGTCCTCTGCTTTTGCCAAAAGTTCTCCGGTTTGATGAGGAAGGCCGCGTAGACCGAGTGATGAAAGTGGTCGTGCAGTACCTGCAAAATCATACAAACATGCATTCATGTTGCACCAACACCTTATGCATTATCTACGAGATCGATACGTATTATGATATTATTTATATATTATACACATGTATATTTCCCTATTCTATATGAAATTTTGGGGGAGCAAGAAAATCGGTATGGTTGTATACGATACGTAAGTATATAAGAGGATGGTGATTGGTATAATAATAATATATGTATACCTTTAAAATCGGTTTGACGCAGTCCCAGGTGGCGCCGCGCATGTCGACGACAATGGTGAAGCGCAGGCCGCGGTCCTCCTCGTTGGGGATGGCCGTGAGGTACTGGAGGAGCCGGCGATAGTCATCGGGTTTGGCTCGCTCGCGTCTCGGCGTGGCCGGGAACAGGAGCAACAGACCGCCCCGCCTGTCCCGGCCACCCGGCAGTATGGCCAGCCGCTCCTGCAGCAACGGCAACACCTCCGCGCCCCTCAACACCTCCATCTTCGTCATCCCGTCCATGTTAATAATATCCTCCTCCTTATACTCTCGCGCACCCCCCTTACCCCTATTTTTTTTTTTTTTTTTTTTTTTTTTTTTTTTTTTTTTTTTTTTTTTTTTTTTTTTTTTTTTTTTTTTTTTTTTTTTTTTTTTTT